TCCTGGAAGACCAAGCTTACAATCACACTCATGACTAATGCTGTGGGAGATGGGTGCAGGCATAAGGCTGAGCCCCCACTGGCCTACTGGAAAACAGTTTTGGGGGTATAAGTATCTGGTTGAACACAGGGCAAAAATTTACATTCCCTGAGCTGTATGGCAGCCTCCAAACTACACATACATCCAATGGTAATATTTGATTTTGGGGAAGTAAGCACAATATTTGTTCAAGAAATGGCTTATGTAGACCCAGGTACAACTCCTGCTCGGCCAAGAGAAAAGATAAAAAATTAGAGAAAAATTCTGAACAGGGATAAAACAATTTATAGAATTAGTCCAACGAAGGCACTAACCAAAAAAACAAAGACCAAACATCAAACCCCAAACCAAAAGGATCAGTATTCAGAGTAGATAGAATATATGATCTAAAATGTTTACTATTCAACAAAAATTGTGAAACATACAAATCAACGAGAAAGTGTAACCCACACACAGGGGGAAAAAAGCAGACAACAGATCAGATGTTGAACTTAACAAAGAAATATGTTCAAAGAACTAAAGGAACTCAAGCTTGAAGTATGATAGCAATGACTTGTCAAATAAGTCTATCAACAGAGATAGAAACTATACCAAATGGAAATTTGGGAGCTCAAAGTACAAGTGAATAAAAAATGAGTAAGAAATCGGTGAATTTAAAGATACATAGATGAGATTATGCAATCTGAAGAGCAGAAAAAAGAGCCTCAGATAAACGTAGGACACCATCATGAGTATCAGGAGAAAGACAAAGGGTCTCAAAAAACCCTCACAGCTTCACTGGCTTCTTGTTTTAAATTCTCATTACACAGTGAGTTCTCCCTGAGCTTTTCTTTAGGAATATCTTGACACTTCACGGCCCCTTTTTTCCCATATAAATTTTAGCCTCAGTTCACTGAACTCCTCCAGTTCACGTTGTTGGTTGTTGTTAAATGCCATCGAGTCAGTTCTAATCCACAGTGACACTGTACAGGGTTTCCAAGGAGCAGCTGATTAAGTTTTAACAGTAAACCTTGTGGTTCAATCCAACTTTGCAGTTTAGCGCATTAACCCAGAATGGTATCATGTTGTTGTTGTTAAGTGCCATTGAGTCGATCATGTTGTTTTGTTGTTGTGAAGTGCCATTGAGTCGATCATGTTGTTAGGTGTTGTCATATTAGTTCCCACTCACAGTGACCTTGTAGACAACAGAATGAAACACGGGTCCAGCACTAGTCTCACTATCGTTGCTACTTGTTGCAGCCACTGTGTCAATGTATCTCACTCATAGGAGGTCTTTCTCTTTTTGGCTGACCCTCTATTTTACCAAGTGCCTTCTCCAGAAACTGGTCCATCTTAACATGTCCAAAGTCATGCTGGTTTCTAAGCAGTATTCTGGCTGTATTCCTTCCAAGGAAGATTTGTTCATTCTCTGGCAGTCAATTGTTGTTGTTAAGTGCCATCGAGTCGGTTCCGACTTTTATCAAGTCAGTTTTGACGTATATCGACCGTGTACTGCACTGGGTTTCTGGGGCTGTAAATCGTTGTGGGAGCAGAAAGTCTCATCTTTCTCCTGCAGAGGGGCTGCTCGAACAGCCGACCCTGTGGTTCCATAGTCCAGTGTTTATTCATAGTATATTCAATATTTTTTGCCAACACCTTAATTCAAATGTCCCTCACGTCACATGTCTCCCCAAAGCAACCATTGCAACGTATGGTGACCCAATGAGTACCACCCTACAACTGTGTTCTATAGGAATTGCCAAGCCTTTCTTCTGTGGTGGACTCAAATCCCCAGCCTTTCTACTAACAGCAAGGGAGGGAACTCGGTTCTTCAATCACCAGGCTCATTCACGTCAGGGGTCCATGCTGTGGTTGGTCTATTTGAATTATGCCCAATCTCAATCAATCCAGATACAGAAGTTTGGAATATAAAGAAAACACTTTTCAGTATAAGCTTACTTACATAAAAATGGGTCAAGTCATTATTTGAAATTTTTTATTAGTTTATGAATAACAAACATACTCAAAAGAACAGTTTTATTCAGTTTATTTAAATAGGGATAAGGCTACTTAAAAGACTTTACATACAAAAATGTACATTACAAGGTTAAACTTTTCCATACTGAAGTACAAAACCTGCACAAGCATTTAATAAAAGAGCACAACTTAAAAACATTTAGACCATTTTGTAGCCTCTAAAAATTACTGACATTCCACAGTAATAAGTAGAGGAAGCTCTTACAGACATGTGATTTAATCTGCTGGCACTTTTACTTAATGTAAGTTTTTAAACGATCATTGCTACTGAGTGAGTCTCTAGATCACCAACCAAAATATCATATCAAATAATTGCAAATCTGTAGATTTTTAATATTAGCAAATCTATTATGGTTTCATAGTATCAGTTGAACCAACTTTTTAAGTGCCTGGTAGCTCTCTAGATTAATTAAACTATTTTGAAAAACTATACTGCCTTTATACTCATTGGTGCAACAGGTTCCTGAGACTCTGCAGCCTTTACACGGCAGTCTAGGGCCTCTTAAATGTAAGAAGACTAGGGGCAGCCTACCTCCACTCTTCAGCGAGTGAGCACAGCCAGCCCAGATGACTTACACACCTAAGCCTGGGCTTAGGATCTACAGAGAAAGGAAGGAGAATGGAAGTAAAGAAATGAAAAGTACAGGAAAGGCAGATGAGTAAAAAGGAAATGGAACAAGGAGAAAGAGAGAACAATGATAACCTACCAATGGCAAGAAGAGGTAAAATGCCTGTTACTCTATCTCAGAATCTGATCACTGACTCTGATCATTCAGTTGCCAACCTCTATAATAAGAAAGTTTGGCATGACTGGAATATGACTCAGAAACAGCAATATTAACCCATGTTGATGAGTAAAGGGTATGTCAATACTGTTTACCATTAAAATCAAGTCCTTCTAACCTTTAAAGCACACAAGAGTATTTCAAAACTTAAGATTGCTAATGCTTCTGCTCAATTCCCATTACTGAGCATGCTTCACTAAGTAGAGAAAGACATTTCAAGAAAAGTTGTGTCTCTATACTTCCAGAAGGCACAGATCTATAAAATATTGGTATTATATAATACACAGAATATGGTTTAGCTCTTCTCCACACTGCAAACTTAAACTAGCTCAGTATGCTGCTATCTAAGCATTGACTCTGAATGTTCATAGTATAAACTTCAATTTGAAGCAACAATGTTACACAGTTCAGCTGTTATTACCAACCTACTCTGTAAGTTAAATATACAAATTAAAAAATAATCTCATTGTGTAACTAAAAATACATTTCCACTGACTGAAAATCGTCAAATGGCTAATTCTCTCTTAACTAAGGGAGAAATGTAAATGGAAGCAGAGGAGGCAAATGAATATAAAATATAATTAGTCATTCTACTCTAAAACTATACTTTTCAAATCTCCCTAAACATATACAGGATCACAGATACACATCATCAATATTATACAGATCAGCCCTGCAGATAACTACATACTTAAAACCATTAACAATTTATGCAACATACAGGATGCATCAATTATGCCTTATTTGTACCGATTTATAGTCTCGAATAAAGGCAGAATAGTTATAACTGTAGGGTAAAGCTTTAGTACAGTACTTACCTGCAAGGCTGAATTAATATTTGTAAGACTTTTCAATAGCCAAACTCAAATGTTTTAACATCAAAAAAGGAATAAGACTCTCTACAATGTATTGACAAAGGCAGACTCCAATTTGAAGATCAATCATACAAGGGGAAAAATACAAAGTATCCATTCTTGATTACAGATATGTGGCAGAAAAGTTGGCACCACAACTCAAGAATATAAGGTAAATCTCATTTTTACAAAAATAAACATAAAACCTTACTGAAGAACTCTGTGTGTGACTACCAGTGGGTTGCAGGAACTGAGTGTACAGCTCTGAGGATGTTTTTCCTAGGTTGCACTCTGTAATGTGGTCCTGACTTTAGGACCTCTTCTATGATCTACTCCATCCAGATGACAGATTTTCTCCCCTCTGCTGTACTTTCTAGACTCTTAGAAGTTCTAGAGTTCTGCTCTCCTCTTCCTAGCCTCTGTACTTTCTGCCATCCTGTACCACCTCTAACAAGATTACTTAGCGTACAGATGTTTAAAATGACTACGCTCTTAAGAAGGAGCAGTAACTCACTCAGAGGAGATCAGACTGCTCAGGAAGAGAGTACATAGGACTGCAACACGACAAGAAAAACACGTCACAAAACCAAAACCTCAAATCCACTTGTCAAGTCACTTCTAACTCAGAAAGGCCTGCCGGCCAAAGTAAAACTGCCCCACACGGTTCACAAGTTCATAAACTTCAAGGAAGCACACTGTCTCGTTTTCTACCAGCAGAGCAACTGCTAAGTTTGAGCCACAGTAGAGCACTTTAACCACTGTGCCAACAGGGCTCCAAAAAGGCTAAAGTAAAGGATGGAAACTGACCAATTGATTCATCTTAAACCAATACTGGAACCATAGCAACGGAAGAAGGGACAACAAGCACTGATTTTCCCTTTGATTCTCATGGAAAGATTAGTAACACTGAAAAATCAGCAATTTATCTTCACGTTCTGATTAGCTTTCCAGAAGCACTACCAATATGCTTTTCTCGGGAAAACCTTGAGGATGAGTTTGGCAATACTTACTAAAATATTTTGATAAATTGTTATATTCTTCTGCTTGGGAAAAACTGTGACCTAGTAAAATATTTGAGAAACAAACAAACAAAAAATCCAAAACATCCCCCAAAGAATTAAAGAAAAAAATGAGAGTAATTTCTAAAATTAACTGAATGCTTTATACCATACTGGTAACTAATGACTTGACTAGGGTCAATAAAAATTATTTATACTGAGTCATTAGTTTAAAAAGAAATTTGCCACGAAGCAGGAATTTTAAAGAAAGGAAGGAAGGAAGATATTTTAAAAGGATACACCCTAAGTTTTAAAACTTAATTTTAAACCTCTTAGGGAAATTCCTTACAAAGACAATCAGGGTCTTTGTAAATACTGTCAATAAATGTTAATTTGTTTGAAAAACTAGTTACAGCTGTTATATTTACATTTTTGGAAACTTTCCTTCAAGGCCATGTAACATGTTGTATCTTCCTCTTTGCTTCTGGGGGCTTCAGGTTATTCTGAAAAGACATTAACAGAGATGAACATGATGTAACAGGCCTCATTCTACCACCAGAGACCTCTTGGGGCCCCCATGTGTGCCATCAATTGAATCAAAATCCCTTCAAAACAGAGAGAAAGGGGAAAAAAAATTCCCTATTTCATTCAAACTGTCTTCCATTACTAAAACACATGGTTTCAACAAAAAATTCAAAGCAGAAAATAATTTGGCTTTGAAATGATTTAAAGCAATCAAGGTTTACTATTAATCTATCTGGTAGCGTAGTGGTTACTAATCGGGCTGTGAGCCCCAAGGTCAGCAGTTCGAAACTACCAGCTGTTCCACGGCACAAAGATGAGGCTTTCTGCTCCCATAAAGATTTCAGCCTTGGAAACCCTGTACAGGGTCGCTATGAGTCAGAACTAACAACCACATGGCATATAACACAGCAATGGTATCTCACTACTGCCATCTGGTGGGAGTATACTTCATAAACAACAGGAGATAAAGAAAATGTAGGCCTCCCATCAAAGTTTGGTGGTTGGTTATGTGCTGTGGAGTGAGTTCTGACTCATAGCGACCCCGCATAGGGTTTCCAAGGCTGTAAATCTTTACGGAGAGCAGAAAGCCTCATCTTTCTCCAGTGGAACCGCTGGTAGTTTCAAGCTGCTGACCTTGAGGTTAGTGGCCCGACTTGTTAATTGCAGTACTATTCAGAACAGCCAAAAAGTATAACACCTTGTCCATCAACAAACTAATGAATAAGCAAAATGCAGTTTATGTATACAATGGACTATGATGGAGTTATAAAGAGAAAGAAATCTCTGATAGATGCTATAGCATGGACGAACCACGGAAACACTCTGAGTACAATAAAGCAAGACACAAACAGAAAAACACAAGCCTCCTCTGATTCCCGTGTTCTTACCTATCCACCTGCCTCCCACAACCTTCTCCATTGTTTGCCTAAGGAAGCACCTAGGACACTTATAAAATGCTCAGGGCTGGGCTAGGAGGCAGCATCAGACGTTTAGAGTTTGCACCTCAGGTGATCCTAATGCATGCGCAGTCAGAGCTCAAAGCCATTGACTGTCCCAGATCTGTTTCTTTCCCCTCCCTCTGCCTTACAATCCAAAATTAGTGAGTGGGAAATGTTACCAAAACAAGGAAAAAAATGAAGAAATAATCACACCTCTCAAAGGGTGAAATTCCCTGTGGTAAAGGACCGCCACTGAAGAACCTGAGGAGAAAACGCTCAAGGCTCATTGCCTTTTTTGAAATCTGGATTTTTTTCCAAGTCATTCAACACCCTCATCCTCTCTTCCACAAAAGTGGCTGAAATAAGTATTGATGCACATGTTTTGTTTAAAAAAAAAGGGATCTGAGTTAGAATTCTAATGGGGCCATTTGTAAATTCTAGAATCCAGGACACTTCTTTCCATTCTCTATGCTTCTGTTTCTTCATCTGTGAGATGTGGAGTAACAGTGATGCCTGCTTCAGAAGGCCGCTGCTTCAATGGCTAACTATAAGGAGAGAATTTAGAGCCTGTCAAGTACACAGCTTTGTCTTTCCTCTAACAGGATCTAGGATTTTAGAATATGCGAACTACTCTGGGGTTTGATTCCTTTGACACATAGTTAGAAGATAATATAAGCAAGTCAGGGATCCTGGTGTGGTGCTACAGGAAAAGCACTGGACTGCTAAACACAAGGTCAGCAGTTCAAACCCATCAGCTGCTCCTTGGGTCACTATGAATCAGAACCGACTCAACTGCACTTAACAACAACAACATAATCAAGTCAAAGTATACCTCCAAAATAAGGGCTATAAAACTGGTGAGTACTTAAAAATGAAATCACTTTTCCAAGGAGCCTAGACTTTTAAAATACCGACGGTATTAAAAACTGAAAGTAACCATCACTCACTAATTAAATTTGCCAGCATGCTGAAATCCAAACATCCAAATGTTGCAAAACGGATGCTTAAATGCAATAGAGCATAACATAACTTCCTCTATCCTTCCAAAGATAAGTAGGTACTGAGGGGGAGGAAGGCAATGGTAAATCTTAAAGAAGATTGTGGTATGGTTTTAAGGTTAAATGTAAATCCCAAAAAGCTCACTGTCATTGAGTTGATTCCAATTCATAGTGATCGTGTAAAGAGTTTTCAAAACTAAATCTTAATAGGAAAGGACAGCCTCATCTTCTTCCTGCGGAGCCATGGTGGGTTTGAATGTCCATGTCTAATCCACAGCGCCACCAGGGCTCTTTATGTGTAAACAGACAGACTTAAAGTCAGTTCACAAAATGCTACTTCATAAATGTGTACCCCTGGTCAAATTACCTATGATTCTGAGGTTCACTAGTAAAAGAATATTTCTATCTTTCAGTTCCAAGAGTTTATTAAATGAATTAAATGAGAAAGACCTAGAGGAAGTGTTTAAGATATTCTCTTCACACACGAATAGACTTTAAAAGGTTCATGCAATTTTCTAATACAATCATTGAAGCAAATACAAACAAGAATGCTCAGATGCTAACAGAAAGGCTGGCTTTTCGAACCCATCCAGCAGTTCTGCAGGAGAAAGTTTTGATGATCTGCTTTGTAAAGAAAGTACCCTAGGAAACTTTGGGACAGTTCTTTGTCACAGAGGTTCACTGTGAGTCAAAAATTGGCTTTATGGCTTCTAATAGCAATTCCTCCTATAATAAGTACTCATAGCAAGAGCTGAACTTTGATCATTTTAACGCATTTATATACCAATTCTTAAGGTTGGCATGGACCCACACAGATCCCCACCAGCCTCATCAAGCTGCACTGGATCATCTGTTTTTGGTGTTTTCCAACAGAATAAAACTATATTGGGCCAAGAGCTGAGGCTGGCTGGGCTACAACCCTGTCTGTAGCTCCAACAGGTATATGCGTACATGCTTGTCTACAGACAAGAGCTCCTGGATTAGTGGAGACAACAATGCAAGGGCTATTTATTGCTGGCCTGGAAGTTTTATCCAGTAACACCATACCAGTACTGAAGAAGGAGTGACTCACTGACTCCTCTGCAAGGAGCTTAGAAATGGTAGCTCTAAGGTACAGTGTTAAGTACCAGTGAGTGGGTTCTGACTCACAGTGACCCTGTATAGGGTTTTTGAGGAGCAACTGGTGGGTCTAAACTACTGACCTTGAGGTTCACAGTCCAGGGCTGATCCTGCAGCCCCACACCAAGAGTCCTGGCTATAGGTAATTGTTGTTGTTGTTGTTAAATGCCGTCCAGTCAGTTCTGACTAATAGCAACCCTGTATAGAGTTTCCAAGAAGTGGTTGGTGGGTTTGAACTGCAGACCTTGTGGTTCAAACTGACGTTGCAGTCCAGTACTTCATCCTAAAGCGCCACACCAGGATGCCGGCTATAGGTAGTGGTGGTGGTTATGTGCCGTGGAGTCGTTTCTGACTCATAGCAACCCTGTACAGTCGTTTCTGAGGCTGTAAATCTTTATGGGAGCAGAAAGCCTCATCTTTCTCCTGTAGACCAGCTGGTCGTTTCAAACTGCTGTCCCTAAGGTTAGCAGCCCAATTCATAACCACTACACTACCAGAGCTCCTTTTGGCTATAGATAGTAGTAACCTTTAAATGAAAGGTTTTCCTATACTAACTATTCCTCGTAAAATCATCTTCTGGATATCCCTGAGCACCATGACGGTGTCAATTGATAGTTGTGATGACAGTGAAAACATAAACATCAGTGTCCACTGGAAGAGCTATGGGAATGCCTCGCCATGACTCAAAATATCATTCAGCCACTAAATTTCAAATCTTCTTTTCAAAATTTAAGAACAGAATAGACTTTTGGATTGTCAGTTGACAAATGGCTTAAGTGTTATAATCAAAGTACAGAACAGTACCTTTCCTCCCTCCAAAACCCTGCCTTGAGATGCCCCTTTTCATTAAGCCTTCTCCTTCCACTGAAGCACTGGAAATGAAACTTATTCACATCATGCCATGGGGCTTTTTTATTCTGGCTTCTTTCACTTGGCACAATACATTTGAGAGGAATACACAATGATGACTATATTGAGTATTTAGCTATATTGCTGTTATACCAGTTTATTTAGTTATACCACCATCTATATACTCACCACTTGGAAGACAGTTGTATTTTCACTTGTTATGAATATAGCTGATATAGTTTTTTTTTTAAATGTCATGAAAAAATAGAATTAAAAGATGGAATTTTTCCACCAGCTTTTTGAAGCAGAAATGAATTAACTGCATTTTTTTTAAAAAACCAAAAACTTATCAACATGGATTTCATAATTTCAGGGCTTAAAACATACAAATGTCATGAGGTATGAAACATGAAACGTTCAAAAACAGCATGCAGCCCATCACAGGAGGGGCAGACCATTCAGGTCTCACCCACTTACTAAAAGGGAAAGCAGCCCCATGCTTACCACAGCCTCTGCTTCGTCTTTAGGGGCCGCTCGCTTTAACTTCACTGGTGTAGTTCCAACAGGGGATAGTGGTGGCGACTTCGCAGGGTCCAGAGGACTTTTCCCATGCGTTAAGTCATGGTTCTGTTTAGTGTCATTATTACTGTGTTCTATTTTATTGTTCATAGGCACATTGGAAGACAAAATTAGGGGTGAAACACTTGCAGAGGAATCTGATACTTTTCGAAGGGCATTACTGGTAAAGCTAGCCTGAGAGGGGGGCTTTAGTCGATCATGATCTCCGTTCTCGGTCTTTTTCACTTTTATGCTTGTACTTGTTGAACTTCCATCAAATACAATGAGGGGTCGTTTCCTGAACCCTTCTACAATGGCAGTGCTGAAACCAAAACCAAAGAAACACACTCTTGAATACACAACCTGGATAGGCAAACCTACTCACTGGAATTCACAGCTAACATAGACAACTGAAGAGATTTACGGATAAGACTAAAGACTAGTGTACATAAAAGTACTGAAAATCACATTTTCTATGTCCACACTAAATAAAATGTGAATTCTCTTTTCTTGTGATTTAAAGTTTAAAACATTTAGGTATAAGAAGTTTAAAGTTAAATTTAATGTGTACACAAAATACAATTACTTTTAAAGCATGAAACGACCAACTACCATATTTTATGTAAATAATGCACACACTATTTGGTTCCTTCCCAAACCATGCAACCCCCCTGCATGTTAGTTTCCCGGGCACATGCTCATCATCATATGCAGAAAAATACAGTAACTCTAGAACTTAAAACAGGATTTCTTACTACCAAAATAAAATCTTACCAGTTACTGACAGTGTTAGGTTGACCATTCATCTGCTATTATTTAGGAAGAATTAAGACAAATGCACTACAGTAAGTCTACACACAATGAGGCACAACATTCTATTCCATTCATGAAAGGTCTCTAAAGCCATAGTAGTCTTTAACTACAATCACAAATTATAGAAAACCAATTTTAACAGTTGCCCAATTTGTAATTGTAAGATTTAATGAGTGTCTACATCTGAAAAAGCTAACTTCCTCTCCTAATCATAAAACTAAAAAAATCAAATACTCATTAGTCATTTATGTCTCAAGTTGCACAACATACTTAATTTACAATTTGTATTTTTAACCAGATCCCAAGGTAACTGGCCAAACTCAACAACTGTTGGGACATCAGCAAACATTTTTTGATAGAGGATGGGAAATAAGCTCAATATATATACATTGTGAGGAGTGCTGGTGTGGCGCTGTAGGATAAGCACTAGACTGTTCACTGCATGGCTGACAGTTCAAACTCACTAGCCGCTCCATGGAAACCCTTTACAGGGTTGCTATGATTTGGAACCAACTTGACGGCACTTAACAACAATAGCAACACTCAATGTCAAGATGCCCTGATGGCACACTGGGTTAAGAACCGGGTTGCGAGTCACAAGGTCAGTGGTTCAAACCCAGCAGCCACTCCTGAGAGGAAGGATGAGGCTGTCTGCTCCTGTGAAGACTGACAGTCTGCTAAGCCTCAGGAGCAGCCAGGTCTACTCTGTCCACAAGGTCGTTATGAGTCAGTATCAATGGGTGGGCTCTGATACATATTGCCACTGCAGAAGGAAAGAAAGTAGAAAGAGAGAGCTGGATAATTCAATCTGGGCTCAAGCACATAAAGTTTCAGAAGCACTGCATTAAGTATCTGGTCTCAGCTCTGGACCACCTCAGGCAAGTCACAACATTTCTCAGGGGCTCAAGTCCTCTAACTGTAAAACAAGTGTGCTCAAAATACTCAATGATACTAGATCCTTCCACCTTTAATACTCTTGATTTAAGAATCAAATTGTGAAATTTAAAAACAAAGTCAAAGATCCTTCCTAAAACAATACTGAAAGGGATTGTCAAATGAGATTTGCTTTAAATGGAAAGTTTAAAAAGCCTCGAAAGCTTTGCTCATGTTTGACTGTGGCAATTAAGAAGATATTCCCTCTTCAACTAGTCTGATGCATGGAGTTATCTCCCTAGTAATTATGAGTTTTCCTTTAACCAGAGATTCAAATTACAGTGAAACCTGCAAGAGACAGAATTCAATGGGACTGCCTTGTTTTTCTGTGTCTCGAAAGTTTACCCTTTTGACAGGGTGGTCTTACCACTTTTCTATCTTTCTCTATTTGTGGAAAATACAGAGAAGGTTTTCATTCTTGGTTAGATGTCTGCCTTACACAGGTTCTGGCTTCTGCAGGTTCCACTGTACCAAGCATGTTTCACTAGTATTTGTAATGACTGCTCCTTACCACTGCTCACAAATCTTCCCCCAGTCTCCAGTCTTTGTTCATGATAGTGCCTGACAAACAGAAGACACTAAAATATCAATTAAAGCATTACTCAGTAATACCCACTTGTGATAAAATCCATGTAGAAGAAAAGGCAACCAGCTCACTTAAGTCTCAGGAAATTTGCCCGTATCAACTAATAAATTATACTAATCAATCAACTATAAATTTTTATCTTTAAATGGAAAATTAATTTGCTTGTGGAATTACGTTAACTTTTTTCTGAAAAAAAATCGGGTTTGACAGTATTATTCAAAGTCCTTCGGGTCTTTCTTTACTCTTCCCTTATTCTCACACTTCAGCCAATTCTGCTGACTCCACCTCCAGAATCTCTCCAGACCCCAACCAATCAGCACATTCATTACTACTGTAAAGTCTGCCAGAGCTGGAACCTGTGTAAGTGGAAATCATTCAAAGAAAAATTCAAGTATTTCACACTAAAATGACTAACAGAAAAGTTGTCAGACTGCACGTTATCAAGGGTAGAAAATTTGAGAGACCCAGAAAAAAACAAGGCAAGCTCTCCCAGTTTGCCCATTACTGCCTGGGTTACTGCACGGGCTCCTAACTGGCCTCCCTGCTTCTAGATTTAGAGGCTCCACTGTCAATCAGTCATCCTCTGCTCAAAACCCCACAGTGGCTTCTCATCAGACTCAGAGTGAAACCAAAGTTCCTTCAACAACTTAAAAAGCTTTCTATGCTCTGACAGTCTCCTCGAGCCACCCCTGAAAGGATGCCCTACTACTCTCCCTTTGGTTTGACAACTCCAGTCCTAAGGCAGCCTCTTTGCTGATCCTGGTACACGACGGCACATACCTGACCCAAAGTCCCATTTATTCTGCCTGAAATGTAAGTTAGTCTCTACTTTCTATGGGTCCTCCTAATGAAATGCCAATTCCTAGCTATGGTACCTAAAACTCTAATGCTTCTTCCTGTTTTGCTTTTTTTCCTTAGCTCTTATCACTATGTAACACATGAGATCTCTTACCTTTTTTGCCATGCTTCTCTCCACCAGGAATTTTTGGTGATTTTATTCATTACTCTGAGTGCACTGGGGTTTACAACTAATTGATCACAGCCAGTTACAGATTTCTTTGGAATCCTGGTGTGGAGCTCTATAGGAAAAGCCCTAGACTGCTAAACACAATGTCTGCAGTTCAAACCTCCAGTTGCTCCTCAAAACCCTATACAGGGTCGCTGTGAGTTGGAATCGACTCAACAGCACTAACAACATAACCACAGTGCCTGGTGCTCAGGAATTCAACTGAACCCATTGCTGTGAAGCCAATGCCAGCTCATAGTGACCTGCATCACAAGGTCTCCAAGGCTGTCATCTTTAGAGACGCATATTAACACAGCTTCTCCTGCAGAGCAGCCAGTAGTCTTGAACCACCACCTTCTGGTTAGCAGCTGAGCACAGTGCCATCAGAGACCTTAAGCTCAATAATTACTTGCTGAATATATGGATCTCTTACTGAAGCATAATGGGGTGAGGAGCATTTGTTCAGTCATGTAAGACAAAATAAAAACTAGACCCACTACAAATTACCTTTTTGTCTGATGTTTTATGTCATGTTGTTCTCTTTTCTTCTCCATCATTTTCCCCCATCTATTCTTTGGCAAATCTCTCTGAGGCAATGGTATTGCATATTGGACATAAAGATCAGTAAGATCGTCTTTATTTTCTTTTATGTTGTTTTCAACATTTATGTTCTTCTGTGGAAAAGGAAACAAGAGAAATTTCAAAACAGCCTTTATTTTAGTAACAGCTATCTACCTAACATAGGAGCTCTGGTAGCATAGTGGTTACGAATCGGGCTGTGAACCTTAAGGTCAGCAGTTCGAAACTACCAGCTGTTCCGCGGGAGAAAGATGAGGCGTTCTGCTCCCGTAAAGATTTACAGCCTTGGAAACCCTGTACAGGGTCGCTATGAGCCGGTTCCGACTCCACGGCACATAACAACAACAACAATCTACCTAACATGGTAAAACATTATTGTTTAAAAGAACAAATTACAAAACCATTTTCACAACCACACACCAACTTAACAGATGCACTGAGCTGAGTGGATTCTGATGTGTGTGGCAGAGTAATCTGCTCCAAAGGGCTTTCAAGGCTGTCAGCTTTCAGAAGTAGAGAGCTAGATGTGTCTTCCTAAGAGCAGTCGGGTGAGCTCAAACCACAAGCCTTTGGACTACAAGTCAAGAACTTAACCTTATGCACCATCCAGGGATTCATACAAGGTACTCTAAGAAGTGATGTTCTGGTGTGAACTGGACTGCTAACCAAAAAAGCTGGCAGTTCAAATCCACCAGCTGCTCCTTGGAAACCTTTGGTAGCTGAGTCAGGATTGACTTGGCACCACTTAACAACTGTAAGAAGTGGTATTATAAATAGGTTAATCTATGCAAATACTAGGTTTAGTCTAATCTTATTACCACATTTTCCCACAGAGCTACCTTGAGTGTTAACATCATGATCAGCTTGTTGTTAAGTGCCATCAAGTGGGTTCCAACCCACAGCAACCCGGTTTCCTAGAAGCGGCTGGTGAACTTGAACCACCGACCTTGCAGTTCAAGCCAACTTTGCAGTCTAGCGCATTAACCCATAGTGGCAGGCTAGAGGAGTGGAAACCTCACCCTGTATATTATTTCCTATGTTCCTCTACTATGGTGGTGTTGTTTTGTGCCGTTGAGTCAGCTTTGACTCAAAACAACTCCATGTCCAACAGAATGACACAGTGGCCAGTCCTTCCCCATCCTCACAATCACTGTCATGCCAGATTCCACCTCAATACATCTCATTGGGGGAGGTCTTCCTCTTTTTTGCTGATGTCCTTTTTCCAGACGGGTCCCTCCTGATGTTATTGTTAAATGCCATTGAGTCGGTTATGACTAACAGCAATCTTGTACAGGGTTTCCAAGGAGCAGCTAGAGGGTTTAAATGGCCAAACTTGTGGTTAGCAGTCCAGTGCTTATCCTACAGCTCCACACAGGATTCCAGTCCTCCTAATAACATGGCCAAAGTATGAGATGAAGTCTCATTATCCTCACATCTCAGGTACTTCTTGAGTTAGCTGTTGTTCTTCCCAGACAGATTTGTTATTTCTTCTGGCAGCCCCTGGCACTTTTAATATTCTTCACTAACACCATAATTCAAATGCATCAATGCTTCTCAAGTCTTCCTAATTCTTCAGTTTTCACTTGTCTATGAGGCAAATGAAAATACCCTGGCTTCGGTCAGGTGCACTTTAGTTGGCAAAGTGACGTTTTTGCTCTTTAATACTTTATAAAGATCTTTTGCAGCAGATTTGCCCAATACAATAGGGCCTCTGATGTCCTGACTACTGCTTCCATGACCAATGATTGTGGATTCAGCTAAAATAAAATCCTTGAAAACTTCACAATCTTTTCCCCATTTATCATAATGCTGTTTATTAGTTGTTTTGAGGATTTTGTTTTTCTTACAGTGACCTGTAATCCATAGTGAAGGCTGTATCTTTTATTTTCATCAGCAAGTCCTTCAAGCATCTTCCCTTTCAGCAGACAAGATCCTGTCATTTGCATATATCAGGTAGTTAAGAGTGTCTTCCTCCAATCCTGATGTCACATCCTTCTTCAAAAAGTCTAGCTTCTTGGATTATTTGCTCAGCATACAAATTGAGTAAGTATGGTAAAAGGATACAAACCTGACACATACCTTTCCTGATCTTAAAACCCATCAGTGATCCCTTGTTCTATTCAAACGACTACCTCTTGGTCTAGGTACAGGTTCCACATGAGCACAATTAAAGTGTTCTGGAATTTCCATTCTTCACAATGTTATCCATTACTTGTCATGATCCACATAGTCAACTGCCTTTGCATAGTCAATAAAGTACAAGTAAACATCTTTCTGGTATTCCCTGCTTTCAGTCAAGATCCATCTGTCAGTAATGATAGATCCCTGGTTTCAAGTCCTCTTCTGAATCTGACTTGTATTTCTGGCAGCTCCAAGTGGATGTACTGCTATAACCATTTTTTAATTATCTTCAGCAGAATTTTACCTGCAGTATCACAGCAGAAGTCCGTGGTATTAATGATACTGGATGCTAATTTCTGCATTCTGTTGGGCCAGCTTTCTTTGAAACAGGCACAAATATAGGGTCACTATGGGTCAGAACCAACTTGACGGCACTAACAACAACCACAACCAATAGGTGGTCAGGTACCTACCTGTCTTCCAAATTTTTTGGCACAGAATAGTGAATGCTTCCAGCAGTGCATCAGTTTGTTGAAATGTTTCAACTGGTATTCCATCAATTCCTGGGCCTTGTTTTTCACTAATGCCTTAGTGTAGCTTGAATTTCTTCCTTCAATACCATCAGTTCTTAATTACCTGCTACCTCCTGAAATGGCTGAATGTCAACCAATGCTCTTTTGGTACAGTGACTCTGCATTTCTTCCATCTTCTGATGTTTCCTGCATTATTCAATATTTGACCCATAGAATCCTTCATTACAACCCAAGGCTTGAATTTTTTTTCTTCAGTTCTTTCAGTTCTAATATTGGTGCTGTTGTTAAGTGTCATCAAATCAGTTTCAACTCAGAGCAACCCTGTATAGGGTTTCTGAGGCTGTAAATCTTTGAGGGAGCAGACAGCCTCATCTTTCTCCTGTGGAGACTTATGTTCACAGTTCAATGCTTACCCTACAGTGCCACTGTGCTCCCCGAGCTGTAATGTTGTTGCTGCTGTTAAGTGCCATCAATTCGGTTTCAACTCAGAGCCACCATGGATAGGGTTTCCAAGGATCAGTTGGTTGATTTGAACCACCAACCTCATGGTTAGCAGTCCAGTGCTTACCCTACAGTGCCACACCAGAACCCCAGCTCTAATGTAATTGTCAAGTGCTGTCAAGTCAGTTCCGACTCAGTGACCCTGTCTAGGGTTTTTGAGGAGCGGCTGATGGGTTTGACTGACCTTGTGATCCAGTGCATTATCCTGCAGTACCACACCAGGACTCCAGCTTTAATATAGTTGTTAAGTGCTGTCAAGTGGGTTCTGACCCATAACAACCCTGTATAGGGTTTCCAAGGAATGGCTGGTGACGTTGAACCACTGACCTTGCAGGAGAGTGCTTATCCTACCTCTTGAATGTAGTGCTTATTAAATGGAGCATAACTGCCAAGATTTCAAATGGTCTTTGAGATGGAAACTTTGGCAGCTCCCTTATTGATTTAGAATCCTGCTCCCCGAGTATCACAGGACCTTTCAAACAGATTCTAGTCTGTGCCTATGCATCCCTATGTAAATCATCTTATTCTCCTTCATTTCCCAATTTATTCTCAGCATCATGGAAAATATACAACCTAAGGCATAGGGGTGGTTATGGAGCTAGAATCTGGACACAAGAAGGGACAATGAGAAAGGAAATAAGATCATAGGCTCGCTAACGATTTCAGAAAAGCTTGAAAACATTTGTATTTCATACAATTGGCGGGAGGAGAGACCCGTCTACATCCTCGGATTCAAAAATCCTATTTTTCCTTAAAATTTAAAAACACATCCTACTTCTTTTATAACTGTGTATCGCTGTTGTAGTTAAGAGTCCTTGGGTGGGTTCCAACACACAGTGACCCTGTACAGGGTTCCTAAGAGTTTTTAAATCTTTGTGGGAGTATAAAGAGTCATCTTTTTCCTGTGGAGCAGCTGGTGGGCTCAAACCACCAACATTGTAGTTTGCAGTACTATTGCTGTTGTTAAAATGCCACTGAGTCAGTTCCAACTTATAGCGACTCTATATAGGGTTTCTAAGGAGCAGCTGGTGGATTTGAACTGCTGGCCTTGTAGTCTAAACTTACAGTGCCACAGCATGAGTCCTTACAGTCCCATGGTCTCATTTATTAGATCATTATTATCAATTTCTCCCCTTGCACTCACTCAGAGGTATAGGGGAAAACCTGGCAGTTCTCCTGGACAAGATTCCTAAAGGATAAGTTATTTAGGAAGTACTGCTCTAATTAAGGAGTCCTAATGAACTGCTGGACTCCTGGTATGGCGCTGTGGGCTAATGTGTCAGACTGTAAACTCAGTTTGAACCACAAGGTCAGTGATTCAAGCTCACCAGTTGCTCCCTGGAAACCCTACACAACAATGTAGTGCTGTGGAGTCCTGGTATGGCTCTGTGGTCTAATGCCTCAGACTGCAAAGCCGTTTGAATTGCAAGGTCGGTGGTTCAATCTCACCAGCTGCTCCTTGTAAACCCTATACAAGGTCGCTATGGGTTGGAATTGACTAGACGGCAATAACAGCAATGTAGTGCTATAGGGTAAGCAGTGGACTGTTAACCACAAGGTTTGTAGTTCAAACCCACCAGCTGCTCCTCAAAAACCCTATACCCTATACACAGTCAATGAGTCGGAGCCAACTCAACAGCACTTAACATCAACAACTCTAGTGCAGTGGTTCTCAAAGTCGGGTCCCTGTAGTAGCACCAAGAATTTGTTAAAAATGGAGATTCTCTGACCATACTCAGAAACTCTGGAGACAGAGCCCAGTAATTCTGTGTTTTAACAAGCTCTTCTGTGTTTATGAGGTCAGATGAGAGCCATTATTAAAACAATCAATATAGCAGAGGCACTTGAGGACATTAGAGAGTGCTGAGTGGAAACATGGAACACCACTAACTTACTGAGTGCCTTCCAGTCAGTGCCAACTCATAGCCACCCCGTACAGGGTTCTGAGAGGCAGCTGATGGGTTTGAACAGCTAGCTGCCCTTATGGTTTAGGGATTCAGTGCTTTTCCTATAGTGCATTGTTGTTAGGTATCCCTGAATCGGTTCCAACCCATAGTGACCCTGTACAGGGTTTCCGAGGAACAGCTGGTGAATTTGAACTGTCGACCTTGTGGTCCAGTGCATTAACCCACAGTGCCATGCCAGGGATCCATTCTTACAGTGCATGGTGGTTATGTGCTGTGGAGTCGGTCCCAACTCATAGTGACCCTGTACAGGGTTTCTGAGGCTGTAAATCTTTACAGGAGCAAAAAGCCTCATCTTTCTCCCGTGGAGC